CATGAGACATCACAAGCTCTTCTACATCATCCTCCTCCACTTCAAGGCCCAATGACTGACCAATGGACACAGTCTCCTGGTCCAACTCTGTGTCATCCTGAAATCCCTCAAAATCATGGACTACTGATGGCCACAGTGCTTTCCATGAAGAATTGAGGGATCTAGTGCCATGATGACACAATCAATTTTACAGCCTCCAGGATGTTGAATTGTGTCTTCCAGAACTGTTTCAGTGCTAGTTCAGGATCAGTGGAAGTTGCCTGATGACGACACCTGAACATATTCTTCATGTACAACTTCTTGAAGTTGCTGATCACATTCTGGTCCATTGGCTGTATGATTGATGTAGTGTTGGGAGGCAAAAACAACACTTTCACAAAGTCAAATTGAGACTCCAAAGTTCTGGCAAGTTGAGGGTCATGACCAGGGGCATTATCCATGAGGAGAAGCGCATTTAAAGGGAGTTTATTGGTGGTTAGGTAGCTCTTGACAGAAGGCAAAACACCTCAACAGCCCATTCATTAAAGAGCTGTCTTGTCACCCATGCCTTACGGTTGGATTTCCAATAAACTCCAAGCCGTCTTCTTACCACTTTCTGTTGCTTGAACACCCTGGGGCTCTCAGAGTGGTAGACAAGCATAGGCTTCAGTCGGAAAGCCCCTGAAGCATTGGCACCAAGCAATAGAGTGAGACGGTCTTTCATGGGTTTATACCCAGGTAAAGAGGCTTCATCTCTGGTGATGAATGTTCTTTTGGGCATCTTTTTCCAGAACAGCCCAGTTTCGTCCACATTGAACACTTGCTGTGGAAGATAATTTTTTTTATCCATCAGTTTTTTAAATTCCATTAAAAACTTTGCTGCCCCTTCCTTATCAGTACTAGCAGCCTCACCATGCCTAGCAACACTAAATATGTCACTTCTTTTCTTAAATTTTCCGAACCAGCCTTTGCTGGCCCTAAAATCTTCAAATTCTGTGCCTGAAGAACCAGGTTGATCTGTCTTTAAATGTTTGTAAATCTCCCTGGCTCTTTCACAAATAAATTCAGTAGAAACTGAATCACCTTTCATCTGTTTTTCCCTAATCCAGATGAGAAGTAACCTCGCTGTTTCTGCTATTAGGGCTATACCTTTAAACACTCTGGTTGATTTGTCTCACTTTCACTTCCTTGAATTTGTCTTTCTGTTCAAGAATTGTTGACACAGTTGATGTCGACATGCCATATTCTTTGCATAGCACATTTGTTTTAATGCCTTCTTCATGTTTCTTAATAATTTCTTACTTTGCTTGGATATAAATCGCTTTTCTTGATCTCTTGGGACCCATGCTTGATTATCTCAACACGTGATATTTTAAGTTTAAATTACTGTACAGTAAATAAAGAATATTTTCTTTAAATCAACACTGCACTGCGCTATATATTGTCAATATGTAAAATAAATTTCAAAATGACCAATAATTTGCTTGGAAACAGAAAAAAAGCATTTAGTTGAAGAGAGTCTCAAGCAAGATGTTACCTCTACTGAAATACACAAAGACTGACGCCTGTTTGGTGTGTTGACAGGCTGTTTGGCGCGCAAAAAGCTAGCTTCCTATACCCCGATTTACGCGGTCAATTGAACCCACAGGGTACCGCGGAAAGTGAAAACTGCGTAAAGTGAACAACAGAACATATGGGATTAATTCCAATAGAGACTGGCCCGACCCCCAAACTCCACTTTTTCCGACACAATACCTATGTTGTAGTAAAAATAACATCTAAATTTTATGATGGTATGCTCACACAATTTATATTTAAGAGAAATACAGTCGCCAGGTTAATGTCCATTCAAATAATGGACTCAAATCCCCCCTCTTCCCAGCTCACTAGCTCCTACCTCTCTGATTAATGTTTGGGTGAAAACTCTAGATTTTAACGTTTAGTAATAAATAATACCTCAGACTAAAGTTAGGATAATATAATTGACATTTCTGGATTCCTTGCAGGTCAGGGAATATTTTGAATGTAAACTTCATATATTTTGCACAAAAGATAAAATACTTGCTTTGTGTAAACCAAATTATTACATTAGATCTAAAATTTGTATGTCTAATGCAAAATACACGATGTTTATATTCAAAATGATCATCATATTGTAAGAATTTCAGCAATGTAAATTATATTCTGGTCCAGTAATTTGTATGAATTTTATGAGCTGAAACAAATATCTTCAGTTAATAAAAAAAAAAAGTATTCTTCACGACACTATCTGTCAATCAAAGTACCCTAACTTGCCTCCCCTCTGCAAACTGCGCCAGATGGTTGGTCGGCCCCAACCCTCTCCCCCACCCCCCACCTTCCCTCCCTACCAGAGAAATGTTGAGTGAAAAAACTAGATTTTAACTTTTAGTAATAAATAGGGCCCGGATAGTTATGCATTTGCATATTTCATATGCAAATGCATATTTTGCGTGATTTCTATGATAAGTGCATATTACCTAGATAACTGCATATAAATGCATATTTTGGTAAAATATTCATCTGGCAGTATCTCTTTGTTGCCACTGAATGAGCACACGTGGTACTGGGAGGTGAGGTGAGGTGTGTTAGGTGAAGTGAGGTGAGGTCACGTCGCTTTAATCTGTCGTTTCCACACCTGGTCATGACTCATTGGACTAGTGAGTTAGTCAGTCAGGAGCAGTGCTGCTGTGTGGAGCTACTCTCTTCTGCTGCTCGTGAAAATGCCGAAAGTACAAAGAAACCAAAATGAAGTGCTGAGATCATATGTAAAGGAATTTGATGCATTTACTACTGATGGAAGTGTACTGTTTTGTAAATATTGTGAAGCACCAGTGACAGCGAGCAAGAAATTTCAAGTCCAACAACACCTTAAAACAAGCAAGCACATCCGACTTGAAGCTGTTAAGTCCAATAGTGCACAAAAGGAGCAACAACTACTTCTTGCATGTTCCAGTAAGTCAGGGCCTGATCGTTCCCAGTTCAACGCAGATTTGTGCAAGGCATTTGTTTCAGCGGATATTCCATTGCATAAACTGAATAACAAGTGCCTAAAGTCATTCCTGGAACAGTATACTGTTAAATACATTACGTTTATTGCTTAATAAACATTAACATTAGTTTATATTAACTATTTTGTTTCCGTATAACCTGCATTCTTGGCTTTATAAGTGACATTTTTAGTGCATATAAATGCATATTTCCCCTGTTTTTAGTGCATATTTCCATGCATATTTCATGGTTTTTTAGTGCATAACTATCCGGGCCCTAGTAATAAATAATACCTCAGACTAAAGTTAGGATAATATAATTGACATTTCTGGATTCCTTGCAGGTCAGGGAATATTTTGTATGTAAACTTCATATATTTTGCACAAAAGATAAAATACTGCTTTGTGTAAACCAAATTATTACATTAGATCTAAAATTTGTATGTCTAATGCAAAATCCATGATGTTTATATTCAAAATGATCATCATATTGTAAGAATTCCAGCAATGTAAATTATATTCTGGCCGGGTAATTTGTATGAATTTTATGAGCTAAATAAAAAAAAAATTATACTTCACGCGTATATGAGTAGATGCACTGCGGAAAGTGAAAGTCCGGTTCTGGCAAGGTACTGCGTAATTGAGAAATCGCGGAAAGTGAAACCGTGTAAAGCGGGGTAATACTGTACTTCAATTATGTTCAATAATTGTTAAACCGACTAAAAAATTTAATATAAAACTTTTAAAATTATTGAATAGTACAAACTTCTTGATGTTTACTAAAATAGTAAGGAATTTAAGCCCTAGAACCGATTACTGTATTAGCGGACTAATACTACAGCTGGTTGACCGCCAAATGCTAGCGAAAACATGTTGAGGTCGGCTCATAAGAAACTCGTTAATCGAGGGATTGCTCGTTAACCGAAGTTAAGAATCTTATGGAAGGTAAATCGTTAACCGAGGGACCACTGTATATCAACATTAATTCAATCAATACATATTCAGTAATAAACAATAATGAATCTTTTGTACATATTCTTAAGATTTATGACGCAGTATCCTTAAATGCGCACGTATATGTTGGTGTTCCCAATCCATCTTCTTTTTTTTTTCTTTGCCATTAGTGGTTCCATTTATTAACATTAAATAACGTTACTTAAAACATATATATAAATTTTTTTACATTAAATTTACTACTGCTACAACCAGGGTCTTATTTTCTTAGTTTTCTCGTGTAGAACTATCGTCCCGGACTCCTGGCTGTAAACACAAACGAAAACAATGGCGTCCCATCTCCTCTTGTGTTACCTTATTATTATTCATGTATATTGTATAAGGTGCATTCAGAAACATTATTTAAAGAATATAGTTTGCACTTTTCATCAATTGTATTGTTTTGGGGGGAAAAGAGGGTAAAAAGCCACACAAAAGATATGAAAAGGTCACAATTTTTTTTGTTTTTTTACGGGCATTAGCCCACCGAGACAAAGGTAATGTCCCACATCAGGGCCTGGGGGGGCGAAAATATAATAATAAATAATAATATAATAATAATAATAATAATAATATCTAATATTATTATTACAACAATTAATAAATTAAATAGCAAATTAATACAAATAAAATATTAAAACTAATAAAAATAATATCCATAAACAAATACAAAATTGAAAAAATAAATCACGAGTGAGAAATTATATACATTATATATGTTGTGTTGTCCATGTAAGAGAAACAATTGAGACCCTGCAATTGTGTGTAAATGAGGCAGAAAGTCAGATGAGCAACCTGGGACTTGGTCACAATTTTCGTGATGCCGTCATTACAAATGGTGTCCTTGTTTCTAGAGAAGTAAACTTATCTCGACTATTATAACAGGACTTTAAACTTTTATTACAAATTATATACACACCGGATTACTCTATGAACGTGGCAGAGTGTATTTCTTGTGTTTACCCAGAACATCAACTTTTCCATTATGATCATTATTAAGGTAGAATTGTTTTGTTTCAGGTTCGGTCTAAGCAATCGCTTCTGTCGAGATTTCCCAAGTGCGCTGACTGGCAGGTTAGCTCCCGAAGAGTTCACAGGCTCGGTGGGGAGAGTGAACACCGTCCTCAGGAAGACTCTGCCAGTATCTGCCCGGTGGCTTCTGTGTGGCTGCTGCTTCTGTTTGTGTACCTGTGGCTGCTCTCTCTGGCCTGTTATATGTCTTAGTAAAAGGGTGAGTTTACCATCCTGTCACTATAGTGAGTATTATGTACTGTATGGTACTGTATGGTACTGTATGGTACTGTACTGTACGATACTGTACTGTACTGTATGGTACTGTACTGTATGGTACTGTACTGTATGGTATTGTGCTGTACTGTATGGTACTGTATGGTACTGTACTATGCTGTGCTGTCCTGTCCTGTACTGTATGGTACTGTACTGTCCTGTCCTGGACTGTACTGTATGGTACTTGATGATACTGTACTGTATGGTACTGTACTGTGCTGTACTGTCCTGGACTGTACTGTTTGGTACTGTATGGTACTGTACTTTATTGTACTGTACTGTATTGTACTGTACTGTACTGTGCTGTGCTGTACTGTACTGTACTGTACTGTATGGTACTATACTGTGCTGTACTGTACTGTATGGTACTGTGCTGTACTGTACTGTACTGTATGGTACTGTGCTGTACTGTACTCTACTGTACTGTATGGTACTGTACTGTACTATATGGTACTGTACTGTATGGTATTGTGCTGTTCTGTACTGTGCTGTATGGTACTGTACTGTATGGTACTGTACTTTTGTATGGTACTGTACTGTACTGTATGGTACTGTACTGTACTGTATAGTACTGTACTGTGCTGTACTTTACTGTATGGTACTGTAGTGTGCTGTTCTGTGCTGTAATGTACTGTATGGTGCTGTACTGTATTGTATGGTACTGTACTCTACTGTATTGTATGGTACTGTACTGTGCTGTACTGTATGGTACTGTGCTGTACTGTACTGTATGGTACTGTGCTGTATGGTACTGTACTGTATGGTACTGTACTGTACTGAATGGTACTGTATGGTACTGTACTGTATGGTACAGTATGGCACTGTACTGTACTGTGCGGTACTGTACTGTACTGTATGGTACTGTATGGTACTGTACTGTACTGTGGCGATACTGTACTGGGTACTGTATGGCATCAGTATTGGTACTGTAGCGTAGTAATTTGTAGGTATCAGTTCAGTGTAATTGTATCAGGCGGTACTGTACTGTACTGTATGGTACTGTATGGTACTGTACTGTACTGTATGGTGCTGTGCTGTACTGTGCTGTACTGTATGGTACTGTATGGTACTGTGCTGTAATGTATGGTACTGTACTGTAAGGTACTGTATGGCACTGTACTGTACTGTATGGTACTTTGCTGTGCTGTACTGTATGGTACTGTACTGTACTATCCTGTACTGTACTGTATGGTACTGTACTGTCCTGTCCTGGACTGTACTGTATGGTATTTTGTGGTACTGTACTGTATGGTACTGTACTGTGCTGTACTGTCCTGGACTGTACTGTTTGGTACTGTATGGTACTGTACTGTATTGTACTGTACTGTATTGTACTGTACTGTGCTGTACTGTACTATGCTGTACTGTACTGTATGGTATTGTACTGTACTGTACTGTACTGTATGGTACTGTACTGTGCTGTATTGTACTGTATGGTACTGTACCAGCGGTACTAGTTGCATTGGTATCAGGCGGGTACTGGTACTCTGTACTTTATAAAATGGTATCAAAGTGGTATTGTGTTGTTTGCATTTAAAAGGTACTGTACTGTATGGTACTGTACTGTATGGTACTGTACTGTATGGTACTGTATTGTACTGTATGGTACTGTACTGTATGGTACTGTATGGCACTGTACTGTACTGTATGGTACTGTACTGTATGAGATCAGGCGGTACTGTACTGTATGATACTGGTATGGTATCATTGTATGAGTACTGTATGGTACTGGTATCATGGTACTGGTACTGTATGGTACTGTACTGTGGCGGTACTGTATTGTATCAGGCGGTACTGTATGGTACTGTACTGTATATACTGTATGGCATGTACTGTACTGAAGAACAGGCCAGCTGAACAGGCGGTACTGTATGGTACTGTACTGTACTGTATGGTGCTGTGCTGTGCTCTACTGTGCTGTACTGTATTGTTCTGTATTGTACTGTATGGTACTGTGCTGTACTGTATGGTACTGTACTGTACTGTATGGTACTGTACTGTAAGGCACTGTAAGGCACTGTATGGCACTGTACTGTACTGTATGGCACTGTACTGTATGGTACTGTGCTGTACTGTACTGTATGGTACTGTACTGTGCTGTACTGTACTGTATGGTACTGTACTGCCGTACTGTAATTGTGGCGGTACTGTATGGTACTGTACTGTATGGTATTGTGCTGTACTGTGCTGTACTGTACTGTATGGTACTGTGCTGTACTGTACTGTGCTGTACTGTATGGTACTGTACTGTATGGTACTGTGCTGTACTGTACTTTTCTGTATGGTACTGTACTGTATGGTACTGTGCTGTACTGTATGGTACTGTACTGTGCTGTACTGTGCTGTACTGTACTGAATTGTATGGTACTGTGCTGTACTGTACTGTATGGTACTGTGCTGTACTGTACTGTACTGTACTGTATGGTACTGTACTGTATGGTACTGTGATGTGCTGTACTGTACTGTGCTGTACTGTACTGTATGGTACTGTACTGTATGGTACGGTGCTTTACTGTACTGTACTGTGCTGTACTGTATGGTGTGGTACTGTACTGTACTGTACTGTACTGTATGGTACGGTGCTTTACTGTACTGTACTGTGCTGTACTGTTTGGTATGGTACTGTACTGTATGGTACTGTATGGTACTGTACTGTGCTGTACTGTACTGTATGGTACTGTACTGTATGGTACTGTACTGTGCTGTACTGTACTGTATGGTTCTGTACTGTACTATTTTGTACTGTATGGTACTGTACTGTATTGTATGGTACTGTATTGTACTGTATGATAGTGTACTGTACTGTATAGATCTGTACTGTACTGTATTGTACTGTGTTGTACTGTACTGTACTGTATTGTACTGTATAGATCTGTACTGTACTGTATGGTACTGTATGGTTCTGTACTGTATGGTACTGTACTGTGCTGTGCTGTACTGTACTGTATGGTACTCTATGGTACTGTACTGTGTTGTGCTGTACCGTACTGTACTCTATGGTACCGTACTGTGCTGTACTGTATGGTAGTGTACTGTGCTGTGATGTACTGGGCTGTGCTGTATGGTACTGAACTGTACGGTACTGTAATGTATTTTACTGTACTGTATGGTACTGTACTGTACTTTACTGTACTGTGCTGTACTGTACTGTATGGTACTGTATGGTACTGTATGGTACTGTACTGTGATGTAATGTCCTGTACTGTACTGTATGGTAATGTACTGTACTGTATTGTGCTGTACTGTACTGTATGGTACTGTACTGTACTGTGCTGTACTGTACTGTACTGTATGGTACTGTATGGTACTCTATGGTACTGTACTGTATGTTACTGTACTGTGCTGTACTGTACTGTTTGGTACTGTATGGTACTCTATGGTACTCTATGGTACTGTACTGTATGTTACTGTACTGTGCTGTACTGTACTGTATGGTACTGTATGGTACTGTACTGTACTGCATGGTACTGTACTTTACTGTAGTGTATTGTGCTGTACTGTACTGTATGGTACTGTACTGTATTGTGCTGTACTGTACTGTGCTGTACTGTACTGTACTGTATGGTACTGTATGGTACTCTATGGTACTGTACTGTACTGTATGGTACTGTACTGTTCTGTACTGTACTGTATGGTACTGTACTGTACTGTATTGCATGGTACTGTACATTACTGTACTGTATTGTACTGTACTGTATTGTGCTGTACTGTACTGTACTGTATTGTGCTGTACTGTATTGTACTGTACTGTATTGTCCTGTACTGTACTGTACTGTATTGTACTGTACTGTGCTGTACTGTACTGTACTGTATTGTCCTGTCCTGTACTGTACTGTACTGTATTGTACTGTACTGTGCTGTACTGTACTGTATTGTGCTGTACTGTATTGTACTGTACTGTATTGTCCTGTACTGTACTGTACTGTACTGTATTGTACTGTACTGTGCTGTACTGTACTGTACTCTAATGAGGTTAAACTCATAAAAAATACATGGAGATAATTTCTAGTAGTAGGATTGTAAAGTGAGGAAAGTTGGAAGGTCTGCTGAATAGTTATTTGACTTTGTATTAAATATTCTTAGTGGAAATCTTGTAAACAACAGTTTTAAGTATAGAGCTATTTATTAGTTAACTCAATGGCATGGACACATTATTAGATCATTATATTTACGTTATTAGACACTGACTCTCGGACACAAACATGAAATGAATACACTTCCCAACGTAAGTAACTCACCCTAATGGATAGCTCTGACAATGACTCATGTGTGACCTGAGGGAGGCCCAGCGGCTGGGGGCTGTCTGTAGGGCCTGGTACTGCTGGGGGAGTGGTCCCGGCGGGTGCTGGACTCTATTTCTTGTGGGAGACTCTGCCAGCTGGGGACTCTGCCAGCTGGGGACTCAGTGCTGGGAAGGCAAGTCCCCCTCCACTTGTGATGAATGTGACTCTGTCTGCCTGTTTCTCCCTGTCTGTCTCAGCTGTAGGCCGCTTATGTTAACATGATCATGGTGTTCCTTGTACAGTACCATGGTGTTCCTTGTTGTACAGAACCATGGTGTTCCTTGTACAGTACCATGATGTTCCTTGTTGTACAGTACCATGGTGTTCCTTGTACAGTACCATGGTGTTCCTTGTACAGTACCATGATGTTCCTTGTTGTACAGTACCATGGTGTTCCTTGTAGTACAGTACCATGGTGTTCCTTGTACAGTACCATGGTGTTCCTTGTAG